TATTTCACCACACGTTCTTCTTACCGAGTCACTTTCTCAGTTCAATACTTAAAAGCAATGTCATTATTTAGCGTTGACAGAATTTCTAACTGTGATATAGATATGTCGTTGTCACAGACAAAACTCAATGTCTTGTTTTATTGACACCTGTGTGTCTGCCTGCCTGTCTGCTAATGACAATATTCAATACACAGCTGCTATCACTGACCACATGCAATTTGAACTTAACACCAATCAGGCTATACACCATAAACAAAATGCATTGATTTATGGCCCGAGTTCGGTCTCTGTCACATTATGTAATTACACAGACAGGCAGGTGTGATACTTGAACACATGACATGTTATGATGTCTGTTGATTGTAAAATGTTATACAAAAAAAATGAGCTTGTATTTACAAAACCCAACATCTCTATATATACACACACAATGAGCCATGAGGGCATCTGCAAATGAACCAGCCGTTACACTTGAGTGCACACCCACCCGCTCTGACTGGGTTCGGTATCCCGGCTGCTTCGTTTCTTGGGAAGTAAACCCAAGTACACAATATTGCACTTTTGATTTGCGATTGTACGCTTGTAATTTTGTTTATATGTTTTTTCATAACCAGCAATGTATATTATATGTCATGAACAAGTGATAATTGTGTTTTAATAATGTTTGATTTTTTAGTTGCATGTGACCTTTAAGAGTTTCTTGATATTTTATCTTTATTTTATACTGATGATTTGTGTTTGTTTGATGATACTGTAATTGGTCTAAAGAGAAACATAGATGTATTGGATCAATTTTGTATCAAATAGGGTTTAGATATCAATTTCGATAAGACTGAAATTTTAGTTTTTCGAAATGGTGGCAAGTTTAGGTTTTCTGAAAAATCGATGTTTGGCAATAAAATTATTAAGACATCAACCTATTATAATTTCTTGGGTTAACGTTTTCTGACAGGTTATGTTAGTCAAAGGGTATTGAAGTTCTTGTTCAAGCGTCAAAAGCCTTAGTATCCGTTAAACAATTGCAATGCAAGTTTAGGAATATTTCCTCTCTGGTTTTATTCAAGATATTTCATGCTCAGATTAAGCCAATCTTACTCTATTCTAGTGAACATGGTGAAGTGTGGGGTCATTCAAAAATTGAATACATCGAGCATTTTCATATTAAGTTTTGTAAATATGTTATTGGTGTAGGTAGTTATGTTTCTAATGTTGCTGCACTTGGTGAATGTGGTAGATATGGCTTATTTGTTGATTGTCATAAAAGATGCATTCAGCATTGGTTAAAGTTGCTGTCAATGCCTAATCATAGATATCTTAAACAAAGCTATCTTCTTTGTAAATCTTTCGATGACTGTAATCGTGTTACATGGGCTTCAAAGGTTAAAATGTTACTTATCTCTTATGGTTTGGGATTTGTTTGGAAGTTGGTAGTTGTTTTAAAGATTGCCACCAGCAAAATTGGTTTTCTAAAGTTGTGAATCAAATAAGTTATGTTTCTATCAAGAATATTATTTATCCACTCTTAAGGATCGTGAATATAGAAGGCTTTTATTTTTGGTAAGATCTGGGGAATTGCCTTTAATGATAAACGTTGGTAGATGTTGCGGTATTGTTTGTGATGAATGATTTTGTAAGTTAGGTATGAATGGATGTATAGAAGATGAATACCATTTTCTGTTAATATGTAAAGTTTATTCCATTTTAAGACGTAAGTATATTCTAGAATATTTCTGGAAACATCCTTCTATTTATATATTTAATGTGTTATTAAGTTATGATAACGTGAATATCCTAATTAACATAGCAAAATTTGTAAAAGACGCTTTAAGGTTAAGAAGTTTTTAAGAGGTGTGCATAACCATTTTGTCTCTAGCATTATTCTGTTGTGAGTTTTGTACTTGGGCCTATGGCCTTTATACTGTATAAACTTTGAATTGAATTGAATTTGAAGTGGAACACTTTTTATGGATAGACAACTTCTTTGTTGCAGTAGTAGTTGCGACGTTTAGGTGTAGATCCTAACACCGTTATCAAGCAAATGTAGAGCTCCGTGATGATGGGGGAGAGAGGTGATCCCATAGGTAGACCATGGGTTTGTTGGCAGATTTTATCAGACCAGGTGAAGTATGTGGAACTTATACAGGAATGGATGAGGCGGATGATGCTTTCTACTGTGAGATGGGTGTCTAGGTCAGTGTGGATGTCTTCAACTTTTCTTCTAATGATGGCTCTCCCCAATCATCACGAAGATCTACATGACAGAACTCCTTGTGCAAATGTTGTGTATCATTTGCTTGATAACGGTGTTAGGATCTACACCTAAACGTCGCAACAACTACTACTGCAACAAAGAAGTTGTCTATCCATAAAAAGTGTTCCACTTCATCATACCAGCTTCTAAATGCCACTTAAGGAAGTGAATTGAATTTGCTATTAAGGATTTCGAAATTCTCTCATCAAGATGGACTTTAAGTAACTGTCAGATGATTTGTTCTTTCAAATCTGTGAGGGCCAGGGGGATTTGTCGTATTCTGATGTCTCTTGCTTGTTGAGTGAAGCATTTCTGTATTTACCAGTTTGAAGTGACCCCCTCTCTTAGTGGTGTTTTCCAATGATTATTTTCCCACCAAATAATATCCGTATAAAAAGATGTTATTCCTAATTTGTATTAATCTATTATATCCTCTTTGTTGTAACGAAAAAAATGTTTTGAAATGCCCAAAAAATATCCCCATATACATTACCGTAAGCTTCAGACAGTCCAAGTCACAAGACGGATGTTTTGACTGAAAATTTAGTCAGGCATCAGTTACCTCCCATTAATGACTCGCTTCCCCAGTCACTTCTACGTGAGACGGTTCGCGCAGTTTTGAAGAAAGTGAAAATGTTTCAGCACAGTAACAAATGGGTGTGCGTTGGTGTGCCTCGAAAGCTGCATATATATTTTGAATCTGCGATGAACGAGCATTCAGAAAATACTTAATGTAAGTTTCTGAAAAATATGCACATATGTGAAATTTGCTGATAAATATCTCAAATTTTGCTTAACTTTTGCACATTTTGGGTCAGTATTTGACTATTTAATGTTCTGTTTTTACATTTTCATTCATGTCATTCAATAACTTGAACATCTATCAATGACTGTAGCAAAGTTTGTTTCATAAATTACTTTAATAAATAACACTTTTACACACGTTTTTGTGTGATCTGTGTCTGTGATCAGGCAGTCACGTGAATGTGTGACCCACTCTCACATAGTCACTTGTATGCGCAACGGGGGACCGTCTCGTGTACACGTTAGGTCCTCTACTGTTTACACTTCAATGCATATTTAACCTGAGTAGTTAAACAATATACTGAATACATTCTCATTCCATACCATTGTGAGGGAACTTATGAAGTTAGAGTATCTGACCTAAGTTTGTTCCATCAGATACCATAGAAAGTTTCCAAGAGTGGTATCCAACAAGAATAAGAGTAGTATTGTTTGTATGTACTTCCCACAAAAAGAAACTGCATAGGATTGCAGTACAAAAAATAAATACTAAGTCTAACCAACGTAGAGTGGCAGTGAATATTACACAGTGCAACCTAGTTATTAGTCTAACTTGCACCAGGTACAGGTCAATTTTTGAGAAATAAATCAACCATAAATCTAACGTTATAAGCATAATTATGTCAGTTCGTTTTTCTTCATTGCTATTTATAGACACCTCTCGGCTATGACAGTTCTTGTAAACAGGGATCAGCTGTGTGGCTGTGTAGCTATGGTTTCATGGGTACTATGTCATGGAAATATGTTTATGTGTACTGAAACCTCTGAAGTTCTAACACACTACGTCATCATTTTAAGTGATAGCTGGCAGATTTGTCCCACATGGGTGTGTGAAACGCTAAGCCTCCTATGTCATCTCTGTTTATCAAGGCCACTTCTGGAGATGTTTTCAGTTCAAAATGGCGTCAAGAGCAAAGATTCTAGACAAGAAGCACAAGATTTGAATTTTGATAAATTAAATGTTTGTGAGCTGTGAACTATTACAGAATCACAGAGAATTTGTCTCAGGTAATAATTCAGACATAATTTTGCATGTCAAAGGTGTAAGTGATCTTAGCAAACGGTCGATTGAAGACGTAAATACAACTCATGTGGTTGGTGAGAGACAGAAGACTATTTGAAGAGTTTGTGTCACCTATCAGCGAGCTTATACAAGACTCATATTCTGCAAATAGCTTCAAAATTGCTGATGTTAAGCAATACTCACTCAATCACTCACTCATGCAATTTTTGTATGTGTGCCATATTGCACCAGACAGATAATTTAGGTGTGCCGTTGTGTAAATAAGCATAGCCATACTTTTTGTTCATCCATTTAAACAAAAAAACATAACAATTATGTCATTTCAATTTATTGTTTAATAAATCAGTAAACATCATGTAAACCTGTAAATTTGAGAGCTGGTTATCCTGAACACATTCAAGTCTGCAAGAATAATTCAGCATCATTTGTCCTGGACCCATAATCTAATGCACAAACTATTATGATCCAGACTGGGATTTTCTGTTATGTGCATTGGCATTCAAAGTGGCCACGTCCATTTTAAGCTGAGAAATTGAGAGTGCCACAAATAAACAGTTTGATAGGAGGCAAAAATCGTTTTTGAATCATTTCAGTTAGTCAAATTTATCGCATTTGCAATAAAATTAATCATGGTGCAGTTTCAATATTTATCATGTCATGACATACAAATTAAACACTATCTCGATGTCTGCACCTGTACCCAAACTTCACAGTGTCAGATAGCGAAGATTCAGTTCATAAGTCAATTCCATGTTGAAGGGTCATAAAATTATTTCTGTATAATTCAGGAGCCTTAATGCCAATGAAGCTAGTGTATATCATGTCTTTATATTATTATGACCTTTATATTATATGTAATCATCGTAATGAATTGATTAGCTTCAGATGATCTGTACATCTTCTGTTTTCTTCTACTTGCAGGTGAAGATGTTATTGCTTGTGCCAAGACTGGCAGTGGGAAGACTGCTGCCTTTGCTCTGCCAGTTTTGCAAAAATTGTCAGAAGATCCATACGGGATATTTGCTCTTGTTCTTACCCCAACAAGGTGAGCTGTCAGAAGAATTAGATCTTGAAAAATATTGTAAAAAAACCTTGGACAAGACCCAGAGAAAATCTGCAAGGTCTTAGAAAGAGAAACATTGTTATTATCTACAGCAATACAATAGCCCTGGGTGTAAGGTATCCCAGCTCTCTCCATGCACAGAGATATGGAAGAGGGCAGTTCAAACTATCCCAGCTCTCTCCATGCACAGAGATATGGAAGAGGGCAGTTCAAATTATTCCATCTCTCTTCACACACAGAGATATGGAAGTGGGCAGTTCAAACTATTCCATCTATCTTCACACACAGAGATATGGAAGAGGACAGTTCAAACTATTCCATATCTCTTCACACACAGATATGGAAGTGGGCAGTTCAAACTATTCCATCTCTCTTCACACACAGAGATATGGAAGAGGACAGTTCAAACTATTCCATCTCTCTTCACACACAGAGATATGGAAGAGGACAGTTCAAACTATTCCATCTCTTCACACACAGATATGGAAGTGGGCAGTTCAAACTATTCCATATCTCTTCACACACAGATATGGAAGAGGGCAGTTCAAACTATTCCATCTCTCTTCACACACAGAGATATGGAAGTGGGCAGTTCAAACTATTCCATCTATCTTCACACACAGAGATATGGAAGAGGACAGTTCAAACTATTCCATCTCTCTTCACACACAGAGATATGGAAGTGGGCAGTTCAAACTATTCCATCTCTCTTCACACACAGAGATATGGAAGAGGACAGTTCAAACTATTCCATCTCTCTTCACACACAGAGATATGGAAGAGGACAGTTCAAACTATTCCATCTCTTCACACACAGATATGGAAGAGGACAGTTCAAACTATTCCATATCTCTTCACACACAGATATGGAAGAGGGCAGTTCAAACTATTCCATCTCTCTTCACACACAGAGATATGGAAGTGGGTAGTTCAAACTGTTCCATCTCTCTTCACACACAGAGATATGGAAGAGGACATTTCAAACTATTCCATCTCTCTTCACACACAGAGATATGGAAGAGGACAGTTCTAACTATTCCATCTCTCTTCACACACAGAGATATGGAAGTGGGCAGTTCAAACTATTCCATCTCTCTTCACACACACAGATATGGAAGTGGGCAGTTCAAACTATTCCATCTCTCTTCACACACAGAGATATGGAAGAGGACAGTTCAAACTATTCCATCTCTTCACACACACAGATATGGAAGAGGACAGTTCAAACTATTCCATCTCTCTTCACACACAGTTCAAACTATTCCATCTCTCTTCACACACAGGGATATGGAAGAGGACAGTTCAAACTATTCCATCTCTCTTCACACACAGAGATATGGAAGATGGCAGTTCAAACTATTCCATCTCTCTTCACACACACAGATATGGAAGTGGGCAGTTCAAACTATTCCATCTCTCTTCACACACAGAGATATGGAAGAGGACAGTTCAAACTATTCCATATCTCTTTACACACAGAGATATGGAAGTGGGCAGTTCAAACTGTTCCATCTCTCTACACACACACAGATATGGAAGAGGACAGTTCAAACTATTCCATCTCTCTTCACACACAGAGATATGGAAGTGAGCAGTTCAAACTATTCCATCTCTCTTCACACACAGGGATATGGAAGAGGACAGTTCAAACTGTTCCATCTCTCTTCACACACAGAGATATGGAAGAGGACAGTTCAAACTATTCCATCTCTCTTCGAACACAGAGATATGGAAGAGGACAGTTCAAACTATTCCATATCTCTTCGAACACAGAGATATGGAAGAGGACAGTTCAAACTATTCCATATCTCTTCACACACAGAGATATGGAAGTGGGCAGTTCAAACTGTTCCATCTCTCTTCACACACAGAGATATGGAAGAGGACAGTTCAAACTATTCCATCTCTCTTCACACACAGAGATATGGAAGTGGGCAGTTCAAACTATTCCATCTCTCTTCACACACAGAGATATGGAAGAGGACAGTTCAAACTATTCCATATCTCTTCACACACAAAGATATGGAAGAGGACAGTTCAAACTATTCCATATCTCTTCACACACAGAGATATTGAAGAGGACAGTTCAAACTATTCCATCTCTCTTCACACACAGAGATATGGAAGTGGGCAGTTCAAACTATTCCATCTCTCCAACACAGAGATATGGAAGAGGACAGTTCAAACTATTCCATCTCTCTTCACACACAGAGATATGGAAGTGGGCAGTTCAAACTATTCCATCTCTCCAACACAGAGATATGGAAGAGGACAGTTCAAACTATTCCATCTCTCTTCACACACAGAGATATGGAAGAGGACAGTTCAAACTATTCCATCTCTCTTCACACACAGTGATATGGAAGAGGACAGTTCAAACTATTCCATCTCACTTCACACACAGAGATATGGAAGAGGACAGTTCAAACTATACCATCTCTCTTCACACACAGAGATATGGAAGTGGGCAGTTCAAACTATTCCATCTCTCTTCACACACAGAGATATGGAAGTGGGCAGTTCAAACTATTCCATCTCTCTTCACACAGAGATATGGAAGAGGACAGTTCAAACTATTCCATATCTCTTCACACACAGAGATATGGAAGTGGGCAGTTCAAACTGTTCCATCTCTCTTCACACACAGAGATATGGAAGAGGACAGTTCAAACTATCCCAGCTCTCTCCATGCACAGAGATATGGAAGTGAGCAGTTCAAACTATTCCATCTCTCTTCACACACAGAGATATGGAAGTGGGCAGTTCAAACTATTCCATCTCTCTTCACACAGAGATATGGAAGAGGACAGTTCAAACTATTCCATATCTCTTCACACACAGAGATATGGAAGTGGGCAGTTCAAACTGTTCCATCTCTCTCCATGCACAGAGATATGGAAGAGGGCAGTTCAAACTATCCCAGCTCTCTCCATGCACAGAGATATGGAAGTGAGCAGTTCAACTATTCCATCTCTCTTCACACACAGGGATATGGAAGAGGACAGTTCAAACTGTTCCATCTCTCTTCACACACAGAGATATGGAAGAGGACAGTTCAAACTATTCCATCTCTCTTCGAACACAGAGATATGGAAGAGGACAGTTCAAACTATTCCATATCTCTTCGAACACAGAGATATGGAAGAGGACAGTTCAAACTATTCCATATCTCTTCACACACAGAGATATTGAAGAGGACAGTTCAAACTATTCCATCTCTTCTTCACACACAGAGATATGGAAGTGGGCAGTTCAAACTATTCCATCTCTCTTCACACACAGAGATATGGAAGAGGACAGTTCAAACTATTCCATCTCTTCTTCACACAGAGATATGGAAGAGGACAGTTCAAACTATTCCATCTCTCTTCACACACAGAGATATGGAAGAGGACAGTTCAAACTATTCCATCTCTCTTCACACACAGAGATATGGAAGTGGGATATGGAAGGTTCAAACTATTCCATCTCTCTTCACACACAGATATGGAAGAGGACAGTTCAAACTATTCCATCTCTCTTCACACACAGAGATTCACACACAGTTCAAACTATTCCATCTCTCTTCACACACAGGAATGGAGAGACAGTTCAAACTATTCCATCTCTCTTCACACACACAGATATGGAAGAGGACAGTTCAAACTATTCCATCTCTCTTCACACACACAGATATGGAAGTGGGCAGTTCAAACTATACCATCTCTCTTCACACACACAGATATGGAAGTGGGCAGTTCAAACTATTCCATCTCTCTTCACACACAGAGATATGGAAGTGGGCAGTTCAAACTATTCCATCTCTCTTCACACACAGAGATATGGAAGAGGACAGTTCAAACTATTCCATATCTCTTCACACACAGAGATATGGAAGTGGGCAGTTCAAACTGTTCCATCTCTCTTCACACACAGACATATGGAAGAGGACAGTTCAAACTATTCCATCTCTCTTCACACACAGAGATATGGAAGTGGGCAGTTAAAACTATTCCATCTCTCTTCACACACAGAGATATGGAAGAGGACAGTTCAAACTATTCCATATCTCTTCAAACACAGAGATATGGAAGAGGACAGTTCAAACTATTCCATCTCTCTTCACACACAGAGATATGGAAGTGGGCAGTTCAAACTATTCCATCTCTCTTCACACACAGAGATATGGAAGAGGACAGTTCAAACTATTCCATCTCTCTTCACACACAGGATATGGAAGAGGACAGTTCAAACTATTCCATATCTCTTCACACACAGAGATATGGAAGAGGACAGTTCAAACTATTCCATATCTCTTCACACACAGAGATATGGAAGAGGACAGTTCAAACTATTCCATCTCTCTTCACACACAGAGATATGGAAGTGGGCAGTTCAAACTATTCCATCTCTCCAACACAGAGATATGGAAGAGGACAGTTCAAACTATTCCATCTCTCTTCACACACAGAGATATGGAAGTGGGCAGTTCAAACTATTCCATCTCTCCAACACAGAGATATGGAAGAGGACAGTTCAAACTATTCCATCTCTCTTCACACACAGAGATATGGAAGTGGGCAGTTCAAACTGTTCCATCTCTCTTCACACACAGAGATATGGAAGAGGACAGTTCAAACTATTCCATCTCTCTTCACACACAGAGATATGGAAGATGGCAGTTCAAACTATTCCATCTCTCTTCACACAGAGATATGGAAGAGGACAGTTCAAACTATTCCATCTCTCTTCACACACAGAGATATGGAAGTGGGCAGTTCAAACTATTCCATCTCTCTTCACACACAAAGATATGGAAGAGGGCAGTTGAAACTATTTGATCTCACTTCACACACAGAGATATGGAAGAGGGCTGTTCAAACTATTCCATCTCTCTTCATGCACAGAGACTTGGATCGGTCCCTGAGGCAGCTTGTAGACACATGCCCACAGTTGACCTCAAGTCAGAAGAGATTCAATAACCGAATTCCAACCACTTTGTTCCAAAAACCAATCGAATGTTCAGAAAATATGAATAATGTGTGTTTCTTCTTGCAGGGAGCTGGCTTTCCAGATAGCTGAACAGTTCAGTGTTCTAGGAAAACCCTTGGGGGTTAGAGTTACCGTGATTACAGGAGGTCTTGGTGAGAGCCTGGTGTTAAATATTTGGAATTCAGTACTTACAGCTCTGTATGCTACTGTCCAAAGTAGAAAAACATCAGTAATATTTAGCAACTGCCATGTATGTCTGTCTGTCCAGTACAATGAAATTTGGACATTACACTTTGACCATTTTAAGTCAAAATCTATGACTTCATTTGGACACTCAAATGTGCAAACAGTTACATGGAAATATCCATTGACAGGCACAGGTATATAATCAGAGTAGAATAATACTTTAATGCCTTTTCAGGAATTTGTGTTACATCAGCAGAGCTACTGACACATTAGAGAGATACCAAACATATTTACATAAATTCTTTGATTTAGGTATCTTCACATTTGTTTAAGAGAGATATGGTACTTGGAATAAAGGATGTACGGGCTCTCTTAGTTTTCACAATTGGAACTTTGTAGCGGCGGCCTGAAGGGAGGAGGTTGTATTCCGAATTTAAGTAGTGAGTACGGTCAGATATGATTTTGACAGCTTGATTCACGATTTGCCGCTCATATATTGATGATAAACATTCAAATCTGACTCCAGCGATTTTACTTGCAGTGTTAACAATTTTGTCTATTTTAGATTTGAGATGAACTGAGAGAGACCCGTACCAACAATGGAAGGAAAATGTTAAAATACTCTGAATAAATGCTACATAAAAAGATGACATCACAGATGGGTTAACATTAAAAGATCTCAGTTTACGCATGAGATGAAGACGTTGTTGACACTTTTTTGTATAGGGCTTCAGTGTTAGAGTTCCAGTTCAGCTTAGAGTCAATGAAGGTTCCCAGATACTTATACTCCGACACTGTCTCAACACATTCACCGTTGATTATCACTGGAAGCATTTCTGTGGGTTTACTCCGAAAGTCAATTATCAGTTCCTTTGTTTTTGTGACATTTAAGAGTAAGTGGTTTTCTGCACACCAAGTCGTAAAATGATTAATGTCCTCTTATACAGTTCTTCAGAATCAGTGTCGTTCAGTTTGCCGACAATTGCTGCATCATCTGCGAACTTTACAGTTGAACAGGTTGAATTCGAGCTTGCACAATCATTAGTGTAGAGGGTGAAAAGAACAGGAGATATTACACAGCCTTGTGGTGCACCAGTGTTGGTGGTCCGTTTACTCGATACAGCCCCGTTAACTTTCACGTACTGCTGTCTGTCCACAAGAAAGTTTTCGATCCACTTGATGAGGTATGAGTTAACGCCCATGTCTAACAGTTTCTGTATCATGATATGTGGCTGGATAGTGTTGAACGCAGATGAAAAGTTAACGAAGAGGATCCTGATGTATGACTTAGGCGTCTCTAGATGTTTATAGACATTATTAAGGAGTGACAGTGTGGCATCAACAACTCCTCTCCTTGACCTGTAGGCGAACTGAAGCAGGTCCAGTATGTCGGCAACTTCCTGACGGAGATGTCTCAACAAGATGCGTTCCAGCGACTTCATTGCTATAGATGTGAGATGTGAGAGCAACTGGCCTGTAGTCGTTGAGTTCTTTAGGTTGTGTCTTTAGGAACTGGTACAATTTCTGATGTTTTCCAGACCGAAGGAATAACGTGTGTATTCACTGAGAATTGAAACAATCTAGTGAAAACTGTACACAGTTGAAGTCTGCACTCCTTCAACACAATGCCGTCAAGGTTGTCAGGTCCTTTTGCTTTTCTGATGTTAATTCTGGAGAAGCTTTGAATGACGTCAGCTTCTGATATATGGATACGACTTTCACTATCCTGTACGGCTTCACTAACTTGAGCTCTCTCATCGGTAAAGTCGTGACAATCAAAGCGGCTGTAGAAAGTGTTGAGGTCCTCAGCAAAGGTTTCATTATCCCCGGCGTTGGTTGTCTGTCGTCGCCTGCTCTTGCCAATCATCGTGTTCACGCCTTGCCAGGCTTGTTGCAGATTGCTTTGCTGAAACTGTCTCTCAACTTTCTCTTTGTACGCTTGTTTACACTCACGAGCTTTAAGATTGATGTCCTTCTGTATGCATTTGTGTTTTATTCTATCTTTCTTCATGTATGCTCGTTTCTTTTCGTTTAATAAAGATTTCATTTCTTTTGTGATCCAGGGCTTGTTGTTTGGGAACATTCTGATTTCTTTTTCTGGTATTATGTTGTTGACACAAAAATTTATATAATCCGTAATGACGTCACATATTCCTTCTAATTTTTGTTCTGCATCATAGAACATGTCCCAATCTGTACACACAAAACATCCTTGTAGGGTTTCAGTAGATTCTCTGTTGCATGATTTGACAGTCTTAACAATAGCCTTCTCTGTTTTTAAGTTTTGACGATATGTGGGCAGCAAATACACAGAATTATGGTCCGAAGCTCCTAGGGGTGGTTTACTATATGATTTGTAGGCGTTTTTGATGTTACCATAACACAAGTCGAGGATCTTGTCTTTCCGTGTACAACATGTTACATACTGATTGTAGGTGGGGAGCACAGACTTCAGGGTACATCCATTAAAATCTCCAAGTATGAATTTCGGCTCATCAGGACAAATCAGCTCTAGGGATTGAACATGATTATGAACTACATCAGCTGCTTGTTTGTTATCGGCACTGGGTGGTATGTAGACACTCACAGCAAAGATCTGACCGAATTCACGTAGTAGATAAGTAGGCCGCATAGACACTGATAGAAGTTCGATGTTTGGTGAGCATATCCTTTCTCTCACAAGATAGTTACGACACCATTTTTCATTTCTATACATACATACACCTCCTCCAATAGATTTCCCTGGAGCATCTGAATCTCTGTCTAATTGAACTGGAGTACCAAATCCTTCCAAATAAAGGGTGTTGCTGTCCACGGAAGGTGATAGCCATGTCTCCGTGAAACATAGAATGCAACTGTCTCTGAATTCATACAAATATTTTGTGCTTGCCGAAAGTTCGTCCGAACTCGTCGGCGGACTCCTCCACGCTTACCTCGTTTCCTAGTAACTTTTGATCCTGAATTTGAATTATTCCCCTTGTCTGATGCACATTCCGGGGGCAAGTCTCTAAGTCCTTTCAACTCCAACGCGGTTTCCTTCAGCGCCAGCAGCTCTTCACGTCCATACTGGCGCCAATAACGTCCATCTTGGTTCGCCGTTACGGAGACGATGACACGCAGCGGACAAATATACTTAGCGTCGTCACTAAAATCACACCGGTGGAATCCACCCATACTTGCAGGGTTGTTAAAGCACAAAAAGGAGCCGACTTCTGGTGTCCCCTGTCGTCATATTGCTAGAATATTGCTTAAAGCAGTGTAAAACTAAACTCACTCACTCACTTGAAACATTTTGGCATATGTACCTGTCATTATTACAAACACAGGCTTTTTGAGGTGATTCTTGTAGAATGATCTATACATATAATTGGTCAGAACAACTTGAAGATTATTGCTTGGAGAGTTAACTTCAACTTTAACTTCAAAGAGAAATTAGATGAAATCACCACAAGAGATTGGACACAAACAAACTAGTAGTATTATTACCCCAGCTAATAATTGACAGTGGCATTCTGATGTTTGGTTCTCTTTGAGGGGATTTTATGTTTTTGTTAATTGCAAGAAGTCTTTTGTTTAAAATTACTAACACCTCTCATTTCACCATATGAAACAAATACTGACAGTTTGGGTTCAATATTGCAGATATGTTACAACAAGGTGTTGACCTGACAGTGAAACCTCACATTGTCATATCGACACCAGGCAGGCTGGCAGACCATATTGAAAGCTGTACAAACTTCAACCTGAAGAGGATAAAGTTTCTTGTAAGTGTTTGTGTTAAAGGGAATGTCAAGTGTAAAGGTCAGCCTCAAGGTCATCTCCTGCAAAAAATGTTTTATATAACTGTTTACTCAAGAAGCAGCTGCTTGAGGTCGATTGAATTTGGTACATGTATTTCTGAAGGTATAAGCTGAGATCTGTAAAGGTTTTGACTGACCTGTGTATAAGATGAAGGTAACATGTGTTCAGTTTTCACTGAAGTACCTTTTCCTGTAGACTTGCACAAGTCTCTAAGGTAATAGTAAATAGTTTAGATGATAATTTCTATAAAATATAAATATTCCTCTAACGGACTGCCGCTTATCTAGACTTGCCTCTTGAAAGGATAGAATCACTATACACCAATGGGCTTAGCAATCAGTACAGCCTTGAAGCAAGGCTACTTTTCCTGTTGATATCTTTAAGCCTTCATACAAGTTGTAGTTGTAGTGTGACTTGAATACTTATGTATAATACTATTGATAATGATGTGATGATAATCTCATGATCTTAGTTATATGTCACAAAGACACCCTTTCAATAAGTAGCATATGCTATGTTTTTGTTATTTCTTGGAATTCCATTTTCAATAGATGTTAGTTTCATAATCGATCATCGGTTGCAATCGGATTGACCCAACTGATCAATCATCGATTAATAATCGGTTAAATTAAATCACAAGAATACCCTCTAAATGATAAATATATTTACAAAAGGTCATGTGTTTGTTATTGTCCCCGACTTCTAAAGGTAAGCAAGTACAGTTCAGAGACAGATAGTTGAACATGTAGAGGTACACAAAAGAAAAGAAAGTTTGTATGTTCTTTTATGGTTTATTATTTTTCCTTATCCTGACTCATGATCTTTTGCTTATCTCCCTTTCCCTTTCGAATGGTAGTGGAACACTTGAACCCTTGAAGTTCCCGAAGCGGACGTACAATACTCACCCACGAGTTACCTCCCTTCCTCTTTCCCGCGCAAACGTACCATGTGACGTGCCCAGTCTTGTCACTCTCTCCCTTTTCGCCCAAGCGGATGGTTGGTCGAGCACTGGAGTCCCATATACGGCAATATTATTGTTTACTTTTAGGCCTATTCTTTTAATTTAAGCTGTGTATGGTTTTGATTATAATTACGATGTATTATTTGTAAAAATTTGTTGAAATTTATTGACTTTGAGTCGTGTTTTCATCGTGTTGTAACCGTGTTTACAACTCATAAAATCGTGCTGTGTGTGTAAACACAGGTTGTCTCTGGCTGATCCTCATCCCCAATGTCCATCGTGTACAGATACATGTTCATCCACCTTGCGTTGTATCTATTGTATTGATTTAACTGACTTACAATTTAATCAATATCTGTCTTATGTTTATAGACGTGCCATGGATCGGGTGAAAAAGTCATCTCTAGTCACATGTGATAAATCTGGAGATCAGCCTAAAAACCGTATGTTACTTGCTGCTGATGTTCATAATAGTGATGTGTTGCCTAGTACATTACAGGGCCAGTCTGCAGCAAAGGGGACTAAGAAAAAGTCGTCAACCTCGCAACCTACGCCGTCCCAGTCTAAGAAGAAGACGGTGTCCTCTTCTACTACGCAGAGGAAGTCTACGAGTACTAGATCTGAGGGCAAATCTACACGTGCTACAGCTGCTACGCAGAGATCTTTCAACGAGGAGATCGTACCACCTCATGAGAAAGAAGTGTTTGACGACCCCCCTATACTACTACCTGAGATATCAATGACATCTACGATGCAGTCGATGTCTACTACTACCAGATCATCACCCATGAATGTCACAGCAGGCCAGCTGTCGGACATAAGACCTCTTCCTTCGAGGACAGAAGTTGAGGCACAGAAAACAGCATCGCAGCCGATTCAACAGATGCAGAACTTCGACCCGGGGGAGTTCATGACACAGTTTACCAACAAGATGATGGCTATGATGGAGCAGAGATTCCAGCAAGAATCAAGGAAGACACAACAGTCTGCCGACATCGTGCGCAAACCCACTGGCCTGCGCGAATCTACACCCATCAGAGCTACAACTGCAGTTGACGTTGGCGAACACACTCCTCCACGAAGTGCTCCACAACCGGACGACTCCATCATACTACAAGATGATACGCAGTCCACGTTCGCGAACCCTCAAGGTTCGCGAACCTCTAAGAAGCCTGCCTCCACGCCTAGCCGATCCAGATCGAGATCATCCCGCAGACGTTCGCAAAGGCACAAGCTCACCACAGGGAGGTTCGCGAAGAGGTTCCAGAGAGAGACGTTCGCGAAGGGAACGATCCCACGACAGACGTTCGCACAGGGAGGAATCATCAGCTGCAGGTTCGCGAACCCAGGATGAAGGTTCGCGAAGGGATACAGGCTCACACAGAGAGACGTCAACTAGACACAGCTCCTTGGCTCAAGACATTGCGGACTCCGTCTTCTCAGACTCCCGAAGTAATGGCTTGGATTGCTAGCATGTTGAGCCTAGAGTCTCCCTCTAAAGATAGGAACAAAGTTGACACCTACATGATGAAGGATGATGACTTCGACTCCGTCACAATCCCACCGATCGAGCCTATATCCAGTACCGGACAGCCTGCGCACAGCCTTCGCGAAGGCTTCCAAGTCCCAGACGCAGCAGCTACCATCTTTTAATAAGAGGAAATTCCCCCTACATCACATGGAACCATTTGTGAAGGCGCCGGAGTGGGACGACAACATCAAGCTGGTCAATGATGCCAAGACTAAGTTGTATAAGGTGGATGATAAGAAGTTATCACAAGTAGATACAGCTTCTAGAAGATTCCAGAATTCCACTACGGAAGAGGATAAAATGATCTACTCGGCCCTCGTCACACAAGAAGGACCAGTTCTTCTTATCGGACCACCTCACAGCTATTTTGGCGGGAATCACCTTAATATGTAGACAGGGTCTACTGGCGTCCTGCTCCTGGAATGACAGATTTACGCAGCCACTACTACGAGCTCCGTGGGAGGCGCCTACCATCTTTGGAGGTCTATTGGACGATGCAGCCAAACAAGCTACACAAGACTCCAGAGAGGTGATGATGATCAAGACCATAGACACCTTGGCCAACGTCATCCGCCATACATCCCAGAGATACAACAACAAGTCTAAGTACGCTGGGATACAGAGAGCTAAAGACAGAAAGTACTCCAGCTCCAGAGGCGGGAAGGACTCTTTTCGTCGCCCTTCAGGCAACTACAGAGGAAACTCAGGAAGAGGCCGCGGCCCCAGAGCTTCCAGAGGTACCAGACGCTGATGCCAGGGGTCGGAACGACTGGAGTCTTCCAACCCCAGCCGTTCCTGTAGAACTATCGACAGTGGGTGGACGTTTACAAAGGTACTGGAAAAATTGGGGAATTTTAAGAGACGACTACGCCTCTCAAGTACTAAGAGAAGGGTACAAAGTACAACTGAAAGATGCTCCTCCGTTAACCCTCAGCCCGATGGTCTTCAAGTATGCAGAGGAGCAGTCAGACAGATTACAAGAAGCCATCAACGCACTTCTCTCAAAAGATGCAGTAGAGATAATAGACCAGAATCATCTCACCCAAGGCTTCTATTCCCCAATTTTTCTAGTACCAAAGAAGAACTCCTTAGAGAAGTTCAGACTGATTTACAACATGCGCAAATTCAACAGAGACTACCTACTGAAACCAGAGAGGTTCAGCATGATCCACCTACCGCAACTGAAACAACTCGTCCGTCCAGCAGACTACATGGCCAGCATAGACTTACAGGATGCGTACCTGCACATCCCGATACATCAAGAATCAAGAAAGTATTTTCGATTCCTGTTCAGAGGGCAACACTACCAATGGAGCGTGCTACCGTTTGGAATATCTTTGGCCCCGTGGCTATTCACACGAATAACCAAGCCTATAGTCGCATACCTTCATCAACGAGGTCTACGCAATGCCTTCTACCTGGATGACGGGATTCAGGTCCACCAAGATGCAAGTCTACTCAGACTACAACTGAACTTCACGATCAAGTTGCTCACTCAACTGGGATGGTTGGTGAACCTAAGGAAGTCAGAATTGGAACCGAAACAAGATCTACAATTCCTGGGGATAAGATTCATCACTACAGAGAATCGTATCGTCGTCCCAGAGGATCGATGGGTCAAGATACAAGCCATGATCCCGCCAGCAGTCACCTCTCCGTTAACACTATGATCATGGCAAGTTCTACTCGGTCTACTAACCTCGGCGCAAGACTTGACACACATAGGAAGGTTACAGCCAAGACCACTTCAACGGTTCCTCATAAAGCATCTGGACAGTGTCGACCCCGATCCTGCTGCCCGAAAACCTCAAGAGGTATCTACTATGGTGGACACACAGGTCGAATGTCTGCGAAGGAGTCTATTTACAAGAGCCGGCCTCGAGACACAACTCTACGCGGATGCCTCATTGGAAGGATGGGGAGCACATCTCAACGATCAAGTAGCGTCGGGAAAGTGGTCTCATACAGAACAAAAGCTCCACATCAATCTACTAGAGATGAAAGCAGTGATCAACGCCTTACAACTATGGGCGAGCTTGCTGAACAACAAGATGTTGATGATCCACACAGACAACTCCACAGTGGCGTTCTCTATAAATCGGCAAGGGTCCACAAGATCACCAAGCCTACTGCAACTCACATTCCAGTTGTTCCAGATCACTCAGAAAGCAGACATCTGGATAAAGGCGTGTCACATACCCGAGCCAAGAACGTACTAGCAGACGCTCTCTCAAGACCACTACACCGATCACCAACGGAATGGATGCTCCATCCCGAAGCGTTTCGGAACATAAGGGAAATAGCATTCCCTTCTATAGACCTGTTCGCCACGAGGTTCAACGAACAACTGCAGACGTTCGTCTCACCAGTTCCAGATCCTCAAGCCTGGGCAACAGATGCACTGAGATTGTCGTGGGAAGGACTAAACGGCTACGCTTTTCCACCCCCGATACTACTGCCAAAAGGACTGATCGAGATCAAACAGACAAAGACGCTCCAACTGACTTTGGTCGCGCCTTACTGGCCAGCGAGAGCATGGTTTCCAGATCTACTAGAAAACCTAGGAAGCCCAGTAATCAAGCTTCCAGATTGGCCGAACCTACTGATACATCCGCACACCAAGCAAGTCCACGGGAACCCAGCAGTGTTCCAGCTACACGTGTGGACCGTATCAAAATGTGTTTGAAGAAAAGAGGATACTCCGCCAGAGCAGCCAAAGCAGTACCACTAGCGTTACGCAGATCGACTCGCAACGACGATAAATGGCTGAAGTTTGAAACTTACGCAAGGCGGAAAGGCTTCACAGCGGTAATAGCTACGCATCCTCAAGTGGCGGAATATCTATGTCATCTGAGACAGACTAGACATCTAAAAGGTTCGACTCTATCGACTTACCTGGCGCTATCAGTACAGTGATTACCATGAAAACAGGCATCAAGTTGACGAAAGTACCAGAATTACTTGCCCTACTGAGATCATTCAAGTTGGAAGACCAACAAAAGAAATTCAGAGCCCCAGCTTGGGACCTGAATGTAATTCTGCGTCATCTTACCAGTGATGTCTACGAACCAGATCACGATCGAGCTGCTAACACAGAAAACGCTGTTCCTGCTAGCGTTAGCCACTGCAGCTCGCATATCTGAGATACATGCGCTGGACTACGGTCGAACGACGTTCGACAGAGGGCATAATAATACAGTTCATCTAGGACTTAGATGGGACTTTATTGCCAAGAATCAACTACCTGGTCAACCAGATAGACAATTCCATGTACCAGCGCTGTCTACAGTCCTCGGCCCACAAGATATAGAGGACTTATCCTTGTGCCCAGTCAGAGCCTTGAAGATATATCTTCAAAAGACTAAGACGAGGAGAAGGAAATTCAAGCGCCTATTCATCCCATTATCAACTGAGACATCAACTGAAGTCTCAAGAACGACCATATCGTTCTGGATGAGAGCCGTTATATTGAGAGCCTACAAAGCAGCAGGACTAGAACCTCCTAGAGATTCCAACCCACACGAAGTGAGAGCACTGGCGTCAACACTAGCTCTACACAGAAATTGCTCTATACCGACAATAATGGAGGGCTGCTTCTGGAAGTCGGACACGGTGTTTGCCAACCACTACCTCTGAGACATAGCCACTGAAGATGTCTCAGGCATTCACCAATTTGGGCCTCTCATTGTAGCACAGCAACTAACGGTTCCTCAAAGGCGCTGAGTTGAAATCTCACCCTTTATCACGTTGACTTGTAGATGACTTTTACTAGGAAAAAGTATTAGTTTGAAAGTCCATGCGCACAGTCTAGGATAGACTAGCATGAGTGATTAAAGATCCTGTGCAGGTAATGACCTTACCTGTACATAAAGGGGTCGCAACTCATTTATGATAAAGACCTTATCATAATCCATGGGTTGTTATAAGATATCTAGTACAGGAGAATACTAGTTGATCTAAAACCACATGAATCAGCATGATTCAACTTGTCTGAGATTGAAGTAAGACAAGGAGTGGTCCCCCCCCCGAGTTACTACGCAAGTTGGAAGAATAGGACCACGGAAATGCCGTTTGCAGTTCCCTTTGGGGGGATACAGGACGTATCTAAGGACAGCTGTTGAATCCAGTGCCTTGACCCACCACCTATTCCGACGGATTCTATAAGCAAAAGATCATGAGTCAGGATAAGGAAAAATATGTAATTTTTAAAGTAAAATTGATATTTTATACTTATCCTGACTCATGACAAACAAGCCGGCCCAACCTCCCCGTTGAAGACACTTGCGATTTCACAGCAGATCCAAGTGCATGGGCGAAAATCCAATGCAAGGTGGATGAACATGTATCTGTACACGATGGACATTGGGGGTGAGGATCAGCCAGAGACAACCTGTGTTTACACACACAGCACGATTTTATGAGTTGTAAACACGGTTACAACACGATGAAAACACGACTCAAAGTCAATAAATTTCAACAAATTTTTACAAATAATACATCGTAATTATAATCAAAACCATACACAGCTTAAATTAGAAGAATAGGCCTAAAAGTAAACAATAATATTGCCGTATATGGGACTCCAGTGCTCGCCCAAGCGGATGGTGACAAGACTGGGCACGACACATGGTACGTTTGCACGGGAAAGAGGAAGGGAGGTAACTCGTGGGTGAGTATTGTACGTCCGCTTCGGGAACTTCAAGGGATTCAAGTGTTCCACTACCATTCGAAAGGGAAAGGGAGATAAGCAAAAGTTCATGAGTCAGGATAAGTATAAAATATCAATTTTACTTAAAAAAATTACATATTTACTTACAACAGCATCAGTTACCAACCATTCAACAAACAACAGATCTTGTCAGATGTCATAAAAACACTACATGACTAAATGCCGCTGACTGACTAGAAAAGTGTATTTATACACACTAAAGTCATTTCAAAGAAAGGTAATATTACTGTAGAGGGCCGAATTTTGAAGACCAAAAATGGCAGCCTGTAGAAGGTGGTCGGCTTATCTGTGGGAAACACTTTCATCAAACCTTTTTCTTCTGGATATTGTATCATTTCGCACAAATATAAAGACAAAACGACTTTGTCAGTGAAGACGTCAAATTTGCAATTAGACATCACTTGATTATTTACCTTTTCAGTTCTAATTTGTTTTTACTAAGCATTGTCTTATATGCAGGGATTAAGATTACCGTGTGTATTTGTCTCATATATAGAGCCGGAAATAGCAATCAGCTGTGCACAAGTTTCCCGGTGATCTTGTTGAAACATACCCAATAATATAACAGGATGAATTCTGACGCAGTGATCGGTAAAATATAACATCTAAAAATATTCATTAGAAAAAACCTGGGGAAACCCCTTAAAATTGGTGATTACATTAAAAATGTATACAACATTTTTGATTATAATCGATAACCGTTCACCACAAGTCCTCCAATAATCGATAGTGGATTTGGTTTCCAATTCCCAACACTAGCAATGGATATTTATCTTGCAGGTACTTGATGAAGCAGATCGTCTATTAGAAGACAATTTTGGCAGTCAGCTGGAAATAATATTTAAGGTTTTACCCAAGAAGAGACAAACAGTACTGGTTAGTGCAACTATGACAGAGACTTTGAATCACCTACAAGAGATTACCATGAACAAACCATTCTTCTGGCAACAAGAGGCAAGGTAAGTTTATGTGTCCGTGTGCATTCCAAGTTTGTCCCTATCACAACCTCACACAGAGACTTCACATCAATACTGACCGCCTCCGTGGTGTAGTGGTTAGAGCAAAAGGTAGCGGGTTCGATTCCCGGCCGCGTCATACCAAAAGACGTTAAAATATGGTACTTGTTAGTCCCTGTCTGGCGCTCTGCATTAATGGGTACAACAAGGACTGGTCGGCTCGGAGTCAGTATAATGTGCCTGAGGAGGGTATTCATGCTTAACTACAGCATGGTATCTCAGTGAGCTAGCACTTTACAAAACTAGCTTACGTCTGGGCTAGTACAAGCAGCTGTGCATACACATACATGTGTCGTCGTCATATGTGTGAAATATTCTCAAGTACGACATTAAACCCCCTTTCACCTCACCTTTCAATACTCATCTCACCATGAAGTCTAATCTCTGCCATTGTGCCATCATGTCTTGGTTTCCTCTACCGCAACTTTGCCAGTGGATTTTGTCAATATTCACAGATAATGACAAGTCTCACAATGGTTTTGTAACATAGATAAAAAGTCCATTCTGATGCCCAACAAGACCATTTATATGACGGTCCTCACCATGCCAGTAGAAATGTTGTACTTTGCATGCAACATATTTTTCATATTTGGAACAAAGTTGTTAAACAGCCATAAGTCTAATCCTCTTGTGTGGAGGCATTTGTGGGAACAAAAAGCATTTCAGTGCTCACCAAAATGAAGTGAGTTGGTAACTTGTATGATCTATTCTTGAGAGAAAGTGAGTAAGATTGTTCTACCCGGGTAAATGCACCTGATTCCAGCTATCTATGGCCACTGGTGATCAAGTGGCTTCCTCATTGTTTGGCTTTTCCACACTTTATCTCATGTTTATCTAGATTTATCTTTGTCAAACAACTAGATATCAACAGAAATCTCTCATTCCTGGGTGTTTCTACTTTTGTTTTGGGGGGTTTCAGGCCAACTTACATAACTGGGATCCAGTTCCCAAAATGTCTAAAATGTTGAGTAGATTTTAAAGTTGTAAATTAAATTAGAAAACTATTCAAGTGTAAATACACAAATATAGTGGCAACAACTTTTGTTGACATTCTTTGTGGACTACACAGCCTTGTGAGTTACAGAGACATGGCACTGCTTTTCGTTTCTGTACTTCCACGATAGCATGTTTGAACTACCATGACCTTTGCCAGACAGTGTGGTACTGGGGGCTGGTGTGTATCCTTGGTGATCATGCTTTGTTTTTACTGAAGAGACATTGTTCTCCAGTGTGGCCACGGTGGAAGAGTTGACTCAGACATATGTGTTGATGGCAGCGGACATGAAGGATGCCTACTTGGTACATATAGTGCAGTCCTTCACTGAGGAACATCCGCAGAGCTCAATCATCATTTTCACAAGCACGTGCAAGTAAGTACATCAACAAGGGAATAAACAGCATCAGAATTCATCTCACATCATTTAACATGTATTTGCTTTAATTCATGAGAAAAAGAATCCATAAATAACTTCATTATTATCTGACAAGTGTATGGGATATTTTTGCAGGTATACTCAGATCTTGGGTATGATATTTGGAGAAGTGGGCTTTGAAGTAGCAGTCTTGCACTCCATGATTCCTCAACGCCAGAGACTTGGCTCTCAACAAATTCAAGTCAAATGAAGTGAAAATTCTTCTTGCCACAGATGTTGCCAGCAGGTTAGAATTTGTTAAGTTAATGGTTATGGAGTGGTGTCTGTCAATTGTTTCGTACTGAGATGTTTACAACACCTACTTAAACACTTGAGAAAATGTAAAAGCAGTGTCCAAAATATTTGCACACAAAGTATGCAACACTGAAGAGGAACTAAAGTGGACTGGTTTTGTCACAGCCACCAGATAGATATTTGGGGTGACACTTTGTGAATCTATCAATCTTATGTGTTACTGAGAAGGCCATAAGCTTACAGTACATAAACACCACTAAGAATTTGTTTAAATGTTTCAGACAAACAGTGCTCTCTATTTAAATTTGTTTGAATACCAGAATAGTGAACCACCTTTGGAAGTATATGTTTTTATAGTCTGTGTGAAATCAAGAATAGATCACTCAGGCATTAAATATGTCTACAGTCCCAACAATACCATAGTCTAGTGTTCAGCATACAATGCCAGGTTAGCTTTACCATGACAGTTGTAGAGAAACAACATGTAACATTTATTTAGAACTCTTGAATTTGGCATCAGTAGTAACTTTGGCAGAGTTACTCCTCCATTTAAAGGAGATGCATTCATTGTTAGGAAACCAGTTGAAGAATAGTTATATGAACATCAGTATGTCCTAGAGAAGGCAACTGGCCCTTACTCCTTGGGTTTATCCATTGGAACCAAAGCCTCTTAATGATTCAGCATAGTGTGGTTAAAGGGAAACAGATAAGTTCCACTTATCTTCAACTTGTTTACACTGTCGTGCGATCCGTTACGAACGTCACGATTAGCCATTCGTAGCTGATCGTGGAACTTCTCTGAAATTTCAGCTTTGGATACCAGGTGATGCGAGTTGATACGTTTTGATGCGATTTGTTGCGCTTGAATGCGATATTGTCACAATTGGTCAATTTAAGGTGACACAATCTGTCATGATCCGGTCTCCCGTTTGGATACAATCACATACGTTCTGATAGGATTGTCCCAATTGAGTCCACGACTGGGTCGCGATCTGACATGATCATCATGATCGGGGTCCCCGATTTGGGACGATTGGTACATGCAGGTATGTACCGATACGTTCATCATGAACCGATGCGTCTAATAGGATAGGATACGATTGTGGTTGTGATGTCTTTCATGATCACGATTGGGGATGATCATGATTTGAGCTACAATTGGACCCGACGGGTATATATACAGCCCAACTGACCATGGACTTCATTGTTTCTTGAACGTTTACAGAGTGAACACTACAACCCACAACCATTGTGATGGCAGGAGTTGAGGGTGATGACGTGACATTTGCAGTAGTACTGTATGCTTACATTATCGCCAGAGTGGAAGAAGACGAGCAGCAGCCAGACCAGCTACAACTCCAACCACAAAGATCCAGGAGAGCTCCAGTCTGGCACCTCTTGGTGGCACCATGGCTCACAGAGGAGAGTAGACAACAGTTTGGTCAGTTCTCCAGCCTCCTAGACACCCATTTGAGGCTGGAGGATCCAGTAGCATTCCAAAACTACACAAGATTAACACCACAGCTCTTCGATGAAGTCTTGCAAAGGGTGGCCCCAGCAATCGATATAGGGAATTCGCCAGTTTCAGGCAACTCCTCTCACCTGGATTGAAACTGGCAGTGACACTGAGACAACTTGCCACTGGAGACAACTATCGGTCCCTTGCGTATGCCTATATGTGTGGAGTGTCCACTATCTCAGAGATGGTTCCAGAAGTGTGCCAGGCAATTGTGCCAGCGTACAAAGATGAGATGTTTAGCCTACCTGTGACCCCTGAAGCATGGACAGCCGTAGCTAACCAGTTTGAGCAGAGATGGAATATCCCCCACGCCATTGGGGCCCTGGATGGCAAACACATTTCTATCCAGAAGCAACCCCAAACTGGCAGCCTGTACGTCAATTAGAAGGGCTTCTTTTCGATATAACCCATAGCTCTGGTGGATGCAGATTACAAGTTTGTGTGGATCGAGCTTGGTGTAAAAGGACACATGTCATGACTTGGAGCTGTTCAACTGTCTGTGAGAGGAAGATCAAGGACTCCCCCGACCTTGCCCTCTGACTGCAAACCCTGATGATCACCAAGACATGCCCTTCTTCGTCCTCAAGGGGAGGAGAGTGGTGGAAAATGGTTTTGGGATCCAGGCCAATAGAATCAGGTGTCTCCTCAGGTGACTCAAGAGCAGAAGCCCAACACTGTGAAGGATATAGTGGAGGCGGCAGGAACTCGTAACAGATCGTGAGCGTCCCTGAAAAGCGTCAACACTCACATTTACTCGTATCAACTAGTATCTACTCGCATTTACTCATATCAACTTGTATCTGCTCGTGAGTCATTCGTGTCAGGTCGTGAGCAATGGGACCTGGCAAAGCGTCACAGATCGAGGGAGATCGCAACACATCTCAACAGAGCATGGTGTTTGTCTTGTCCACGATTGATTCCGATCACCACCATTTGGAAGCACGATTAGATGCGATATGTTGCGCTTTGTTACGATGCAATACGATCTGATGCGATGATCACGATTGACAATTAATCGTGTTGATCGTAGATTTTTTTTGATAAGATCTAATAGGATCACCACAATTAGTCCACGATTAAGACCACGATTTAAATCTAGGCTCGAATCGTGATAGTGTGAACATAGCATGAACAACACTGACTGTTTGAAGTCTCCTCAGGTTGTGCTACTGTTATATTCTTGTTGTACACATTAATGTTTTGCTGGTAATGCTGAACCCTGGAAACACTCACTGTATAGCATCATAAGTTAAATCATAATCTTAGTCATATCATCTGTAAATATATTCTTTTCTACAGTATTCAAAGGCATAAACCTGCTTTACAAATTACATTCACAAATTGTTTTGTTATTTTTAGGAATGTGGCTGAAGTTGATGCTTTTCTGTTAAGATGAAATGTCTGTATTATGCAACCTTGTAACTTCCAAAGGGCCTGCTGGGGCAATATATTTCTTCTTTTCTCAACTTGATGTTTTGACTTGAGAGGTTGTCCCAAATGTTTCTGTTCACAACATGCACACGCATTCCTGAGTCTATTAAAATTTCATCTCAACTCCATGAGTGTTTGCTTGAATAGTCTGAACTTGTGTACTCTTGCTGAAGTGTGTATCATCTTCATAATCCTGATTGTTTCATCATAGCATGTGCTTCACCATGTCATTCAGCCATATACTGTAATGATAAAACACAAAACACTACAGGAATTAGGTACATTTTGTCATCTGGTTGAGGCATAAGTTGAATTGCACATTGACAGTCACAGATATCACAGATGAAAGTGGAAGACCCGGGTTTGATTCCCCACATGGGTACAATGTTTGAAGCCCATTTTTGGTGTCCCCCATCGTGATATTGCTGGAATATTGCTAAAAGCGGCGTAAAACTTAACACACTCACTCACCAAATGATTCATGATACATGTTTCTGATAGCAAACCTTTATTCAGGTCAAGGTTGGGCCAGAGTTGCTTCTGTTTTGGCATGCAGATGTTTCTACTTCTCCTCCAGATATAACATTCAGATCAGTAGATTTTAGTGTCAGTGTTTAAGTAGAAAACACTTGAATATGAATGCTGGGAAACACCTGTGTTAAGTGTGTCTTTGTTGGCATATCCTGATGAGATACAGTGCATCATTTCATAATTGTGTAGAGAACTATTGCTGTGAATATATCTTGTTTTCAATCTCCAGACTTGATTGATGTTTCCTTGCAGAGGACTGGACATCCCAACAGTAGATCTTGTCATTAATCACAATGTGCCAAACAGACCTAAGGATTATGTCCATCGAGTGGGACGCACAGCGAGAGCAGGTACATCATGATACATCTGGTTTGCAGCTGAAATTGCTATGGTCACCTTGAGCCAAGTCTCATAGTGAGGTTACGAGGTGTTCAATGAAGGATGATACCATCGCTGCCAATTCCCCACTATCTGTCATTTGCTGTACAGTATGAGATGAAATTGTATCCACATGCACCTGTGCACTGACCAAAATAATTACATTTTGATTTCTTATGTTATAAAAATATTAATAATAATAATAATAATCAGGATATTTGTATAGCGCTGATCTCCCCAACTCATGGGCATGCTCTAAGCGCATACAATGTCATATGTAACAAATTTAGAATCTCCATTTGGTTATTTTAATGTTTAAAATATTACCTGTGTAAAGATGTATAAAAATTACACAAAATAGACACACACTATATATATAATTTTTCCTAATCCTGACTCATGCTAATTATGCTTGTCTCCTTCCTCTTGCGAATGATAGTGGAACACTTAAAATCCTTTGAAGTTCCCTTTAAAAAAGCAGACGTAAAATCACTCACCCAGAGTAGCGTCCCTTCCTCCCTTTGGCGCCCTTTTGGTCACCTGACCGACCATGCCTTGTCACTCTCTCCTTCTTCGCCCTTGAGGACGGTTGTGAGAGCACCTGGTCCCTATACGGCACATATCCTTTTATATTTTCGGACCTTACATAAAAATTATTGATGTATACGTTTTTTAGGATTATATTCTACATTACGGTTTGAAATTTGATCTAAATTTTCCGTTGTTTGACTTGTGTTTTCATTGTGTTTACATTTGATGAAAACCTGTATTCGTTGTAGGTACCGAGTGTCTGCGGCTGACCCTCATTTATTATGTCCTAATTGCACTATTTCATGTTCTTTCTGCTCTCGCTGTAAGTTTTGTGTAAATTTAAACTCTGTTGAATTTGCTAATTACCTTTTTTCCATCCATAGACGTGCTAAGGACTGGGTACATAGGTATTCACAAGTCATGTCTAAATCGAGTGATTGCGCTGATAACCGTGTGTTAACCACTGCTGCAGACATTCATAATTCCAGTGAATTGCCGAACGTTTCTCGGGAGCAGGTCGATGTACCGGTGGTGAACGTCGGAGGCCATAAGAGATTATCGTGTACTGAGCTGACCTCGTCGCAGATGAAGAAGGCTAAATGATCTTCTATGCAGAAGAAGAAGGCTACTACCTTGAAGACTTCATCGAAGTCTATGCTCAGCTCTACGCAGAAGACGAGGTCTTTCTCAGCCGAGATTGTTCCTCCGGAAGAAGCAGACGTTTATGATGATCCACCCATCCTCATACCGGAAGTCTCCATTGTCAGTAAGAAGACGAAGCCTGCTTCTACAGCTACATCGACATTGTTATCACTATTCACAAGTGCAGCGAGCCTTAAATGACGTCTCTTCAGTATCAGATGCATCATCCCTGCAGCAGTCTCTTCAGACAACGAAGAACTTCAACCCGGGACTGTTCATGCAACAGTTTACAGACAAGATGATGTCGATGATGGAACGTCGCTTTGCTCAGGAGAAGGCTGCTATGAAGACCTCTACAACGACTACTAGACTTAGTGAAGGTTCTACACTCTCTCCACCGCATCCGGATGAAGAGGGAAGCCTGCGCTAAGGCTCACGGACACGGCGATCTTCCCCATCTGAAGTGAGGAGTCTGGACACCGCTACCAAAGTCAGTTCAGCTGTAGACGCTTGAGAGATTGCTGCTAAGAAGTCTCCATGCAGGAAGAAATTGAGGCGTTCTCCTGAACCCTACAGATGTCGCAGATATGAGTCTTCATCTCCATCAGACTCTGACGCCCATCGAGAACCTGCGCGAAGGCACTCCTACAGAGGGGAAGCTACGTCCTGAAACCCACCTTCACGAAGACCTAGAGAATCATCTCAAGACTCCAGAAAGATTATACACGATCGCATTGGGATCGCTCACCTGCGCGAAGCTCCTCATACAGATCATCTCATAGAGACTCAAGTCATTGTGGATCCTTAGAGCGAGAGATGTCCAATCAGAGGAAGAAGGTGAAAGCATATTCTCCGATACGGAAGTTAACTCCTGGATTGCCAATGGCTTGGACTTAGCATCACCTTCTAAGGACAGAGATGAGGCGTTTACCTACAAGATGTCTAACGATGATTTCGACACGCTCACCTTTCCTCCGATCGACCCGATCGCTCAAGTATCAGACAACCTCAGCGCAGCTTTTGATAAAGCCACCAAGTCTCAGAGTCAGCACATCCCGACGTTCAACACCAGGAAATTCCCTCTACATAGGATGGAACCCTTCCTGAAGGCTCCAGAGGTGGAAGATGACTACAAGATTACAAGATTATCACCGACTCCCGTCAGAGAACTTACAAGATTGAGGAGAAGAAGTTAGCGCAGCTGGATACAACCACCAGACGTACCTTCGGATTAGCCAGATCGAGGGCTATCAACGAAACACTTATCTCGAAGTTCAAGAACTCCTCCGCCGAAGAAGACCGGATGATATACTCCGCTCTACTAATGCAGAAGAGGGATCATCAGTTTATGTCGGAGCACTTAGCATCCACATCAGACAAGGGTTATTGTCAGCATGCACTTGGAGTGAACGCTTCACCAAGTCCTTATACAGAGCCCCATGGTCAGCATCTTACATCTTTGGAGGAGGAATTGAAGAAGTCGCCAGAGAAGTCTCTCACGACTCGAGGGAGGTTATGATGATTAAATCCATCGACACCTTGGCTAATGTGATTCGTCAGACATCCCAACGCTACTCCAACAAATCCAAGTTTGAAGGAGTCCAGAGAGCCAGAGAAAAGAAGTATTCCAGCATGAAAGGAGGAAGAGGCTCCTTTTGTCGCCGAACCGGAGCTCCTAGAGGTAACCCCGGAAGAGGCCGAGCACCTACGGATGCAAGAGGAATCAAGCGCTGAAGGCCAGGTGCGGAACGACTGGAGTCTTTCACCCCCAGCCGTTCCTGTACAACCTTCGACAGTGGGTGGACGTCTTCAACGATACTGGGAAAATTGGGGAATTCTACAAGACGACTATGTGTCCCAGATACTACGCAGAGGGTACAAGATACAGTTGGAAGCCACCCCACCACTCACAAGCAACCCGATGGCCTTCAACTATGCAGCCGACCAGGTAGAAAAACTGGACGACGCTATCAAGACCCTGCTCGACAAAGAGCCAGTAGAAGAGATAGATCAAGATCTCATCACGCCCGGGTTCTACTCCCCAATTTTCCTGGTACCGAAGAAGAATTCCAAGGAGAAATTTCGGCTCATCAACAACTTGAGGAAGTTCAACGGGAGTATCTATGCAGACCAGCAAAATTCAAGATGATACATCTTCCTCAGCTCCGACATCTCGTTCGTTCAGCAGACTACCTCACCAGCATAGATCTGCAAGATGCGTACCTCCACATCCCGATACATCCAGACTCAAGGAAATACCTACGATTCCTGTTCAATGGACATCACTTCCAGTGGAAGGTTCTACCGTTTGGAATATCGTCTACCCCCTGGTTGTTTACTCAAGTGACCAAGCCTATCGTCACATATTTACATCGTTGAGGTCTACGCAATGCGTTCTACCTGGACGACGGGATTCAAGCTCATCAAGATCCCAGTCAACTCAGACTGCAACTAGACTTCACCATCAGGCTGCTCACTCAACTAGGATGGCTAGTAAATCTCCTCAAGTCGGAACTGGAGCCGAAACAAGATCTGCAATTTCTAGGCATTCGACTCATCACACCAGTGAATCGCATAGTCGTTCCAGAGGATCGTTAGGTCCGATACAACAGATGATATCTCAAGCAATGCTCTCTCCGTTGACACTACGTGCTTGGCAAAGCATGCTCGGTCTACTCACCTCAGCTCAAGACATGACTCGGAGAGGGAGACTACAGTTGCGGCCACTACAAGTATTTGTGAACGCCCACCTAGACAGCCTAGATCCGTTAATACTACCGGACAGCCTGAAACCATATCTCCTATGGTGGACTCGGAAGTCAAATGTTTGCGGAGGAACCTTTTTGACAGAGCCGGTTTGCAACACTCATCACTACGTGGATGCCTCCCTACAAGGATGGGGTGCGCACTTCAACAACGAAGTGACAGCAGGGAATTGGTTGAGTCAGGATCAGAAGTCACACATCGATCTGTTGGAGATGAAAGCAGTAATCAACGCTTTACAACATTGGTCCAGCGTACTAAAGAACACACGACTCATGGTACACACGGACAACTCCACAGTGGCGTTTTACATCAACAAACAAGGGTCAACAAGTCTGCTACAACTCAGCTTTCTCCTGTTCAGCATCGTCGACAACCTGAACATCTACATGAAGGCATGCCACATTCCGGGAGCAAGGAATGTCAGAGCAGACGCCCTATCTCGTCCACTACAACCATCCCCGACGGATTGGATGTTGCATCCAGAAGCATTCCAGTTCATCATACAGACTATAGGATCCCCACTAATAGACCTGTTTGCAACAAAGTTCAACAAACAGCTACCAACATTCGTCTCATCGATTCCAGATCCTCAGGCATGGGCAACAGACGCTCTAAGCATCTCATGGGAAGGACTAAGTACTACAGAAAATCAAGCAGACAACTACGTTGCAACTAATTTTGGTCGCACTCTATTGGCCTGCGAGGGTATAGTTTCCCGTCCTCATACAAGAACTCGGAAGTCCAACCCTGAAACTACCAGAGTGGTCGAACCTACTTGTCCATCCACGCACCAAGCAAGCTCACGGGATCCCGACACTGTTCCAGCTACACGCGTGGAGCGTATTAAAGCTTGTCTGAAGACCAGAGGGTACTCCGCCAGAGCAGCTAAAGCAGTTACACTAGCTGTATGCAGATCAACTCGCAACTTGTACGACGACAAGTGGCAGAAATTTGAACAGTATGCAAAGAGGAAAGGCTTTACAGCGGTGAAAGCAACACATCCTCAAGTGGCGGAATACTTATGTCATCTTTG